CCACTGGGGCCTTCGGTGGAGCTCCCTATGGGGCCACGAAACGTGTGAGGGGTGTGCCAGAATGGGGGGTGGAACCGCATGCGGGCGCAGCCACTGGGGCCTTCGTTGGAGCTCCCTATGGGGCCACGAAACGTGTGAGGGGTGTGCCAGAATGGGGGGTGGAACCGCATGCGGGCGCAGCCACTGGGGCCTTCGGTGGAGCTCCCTATGGGGCCACGAAACGTGTGAGGGGTGTGCCAGAATGGGGGGTGGAACCGCATGCGGGCGCAGCCACTGGGGCCTTCGGTGGAGCTCCCTATGGGGCCACGAAACGTGTGAGGGGTGTGCCAGAATGGGGGGTGGAACCGCATGCGGGCGCAGCCACTGGGGCCTTCGGTGGAGCTCCCTATGGGGCCACGAAACGTGTGAGGGGTGTGCCAGAATGGGGGGTGGAACCGCATGCGGGCGCAGCCACTGGGGCCTTCGGTGGAGCTCCCTATGGGGCCACAAAACGTGTGAGGGGTGTGCCAGAATGGGTGTGGGAGGGGGAGGAGGGGGGGAAGGGGAGGAGGAGGAAGGAGAAGAGGAACGCGGGGCGTCTCTCTTCAAAACGCGGACCCAACACCACAGAATGGTTGGAACAAAACAACAAAACAACACCAACAACAACAACAACAACAACAACAATTACTAGCACGTGGGGACACTCCGTTCTCACCAGTGCCAGGGTTTTCATAGGAGGCGGGCAATACCCCCACTTTGTGGGGGGGCCGGTTCAAGCTCTACCAAATTTCCAAACGACTCTTCGCCACCACCCACACCCAGCTTCCCGCCCTATGACGTTCGGACACTTCACTTCGTGGCATGCGGACGACCGTGGCTACTATTCAGGGCCCCGCGGCCGACGACGACGGCGTGCGCGCGCGAAGAAAAAACGAATGTGTCCCGCATGGTATTATTTGACAGGGATGATGGCCCTGGCAGGTGCGCAACCGTTGTCGCAGAAGTTCGAAAAAGTTGCTCGCAAAAGCCCGTTTGACAGAAATGTTTAAAAAGTGTTGGGTTTCCTACGAATCCGCAAGAGCGCGCGGGATGAGATTTTGACAATTTTTGTTGAAAAACCATTGGTTTTTTTATGTTTTTATGTTAAAATCGCTGCGAACACTAAGGTTTTGGAAGGATTTCGTCTTGCGCGCGCGAATGTCCACTTTACCTTATTTTTTGCAAGGGATTCTTGAAATTTGATTATATTAGAACAAGAAATGTAATTTTCTATTGTTTTTTGCAAGGGAAAGCGGATTACAACAAAACAACCGGATCCTGTACACACCCTCTTTTCTGAGGCTTCCTCACGAAAATGATGAAAATGTAGCTGCGGCCTAGGCGGCGCAGGGGGGGCGCGCACCAGGGGGCCCAACAATAATTATTTTTTAGAATAAATAATGTTCAACAACAGCAATAGCAATAACAATAACAACAACAACAACAACAACAACAACAACAACAACAACAACCACAACCACAACCACAACAACAACATCAACATCAACAACAACAACCACAACAACAACAACAACAACAACCACACTAACAACAACCACACCAACAACAACAACAACAACAGCAACAACAACTACAACAACAACAACGACGACAACAACAACCACAACAATAACAACGACGACGACGACGAAGACGACGATGACAACGACGACGACGACAATGCAAACACCAATAACAACAACAACAACAACAACAACAACGACGACAACAACAACAAAAGAACAACAACAGTTGCAACAACAACGACCATAACAGAACAACAACAATATTGTTACTTATCTGTTCGCGTGTCATTCAATATGCATATCCCAAACCCTGGATACCCGCCCTCTTCGTCTTCGATCGTACCCCCTTTTGGGGGGTATATTCATTCCCTGCCACGCGTGGTTGGTGAAGCCCTTGAAAACGAAGGGTAACAGATAACGGGGGAGACCGAAGGGCATACGTATAGGGGACCGCAGAAGGCAACGACGGAGCCGCTGAGGGCCACGAAGAGCGACAGCGGGGCCAAGAAGGGCATGCGTATGGGGCCACGACGGGCGCAAACGAGCGGGGGCCACGAAGGGCATAGATGTATGGGGCCAGAAAGGGCGACAGCGGGGCCACTGAGCGCAGAAAGTGTGCCACGAAGGGCAGCGAGGGGCCACGAATGGCGACAGCGGGGCGACGAAACGCATGTGTATGGGACCACGAAGGGCGCGAGCGAGCGGGGGCCACGAAGGGCAATTAATCCGGGGCCACAGACGGCAGCGACGGGGCCGCTGAGGGCAGAAACGGGGCCACGAAGGGCAGAGAGGGGGCCACGAAGGGCGACAGCGGGGCCACGAAGGGCATGCACATGGGGCCACGACGGGCGCGAACGAGCGGGGGCCACGAAGTGCATTCGTGTATGGGGCCAGAAAGGGCGACAGCGGGGCCACTGAGGGCAGAAAAGGGGCCACGAAGGACGACAGCGGGG